AGATGTGTATAAGAGAGTGGTACCGGGACCGGGACGTGGTACCGGGACCGGGACGTGGTACAGGGACCGGGACGTGGTACCGGGACCGGGACGTGGTACCGGGACCGGGACGTGGTACCGGGACTGGGACGTGGTACCGGGGCCGGGACGTGGTACCGGGACCGGGACGTGGTACCGGGACGTGGTACAGGGACCGGGACGTGGTACCGGGACGTGGTACAGGGACCGGGACGTGGTACCGGGACGTGGTACAGGGACCGGGACGTGGTACCGGGACGTGGTACAGGGACCGGGACGTGGTACCGGGACGTGGTACAGGGACCGGGACGTGGTACCGGGACGTGGTACAGGGACCGGGACGTGGTACCGGGACGTGGTACAGGGACCGGGACGTGGTACCGGGACGTGGTACAGGGACCGGGACGTGGTACCGGGACGTGGTACAGGGACCGGGACGTGGTACCGGGACGTGGTACAGGGACCGGGACGTGGTACCGGGACGTGGTACAGGGACCGGGACGTGGTACCGGGACGTGGTACAGGGACCGGGACGTGGTACCGGGACGCGGTACCGAGACCGGGACGTGGTACGGGACCGGGACGTGGTACGGGACCGGGACGCGGTACCGGGACCGGGACGTGGTACCGGGACGGGGTACCGGGACCAGTACCGTGTCCCCACGCTCTTGTCCCCATCACTCCCCCCGCGTGGGGATCGGTCCCCCTGGTTTACGCAGACGCGGCCTCGACGCGCGTATGAGTTATTGAACCCCTGGGGGGTTACGGCCCCCGGGGGTTGGGGTTACACGCGCCCCGGGGATGGCGGGGGGTTTGGGGTTCAATATACACTGGACGGGTTAGGTTTTTTGGAATTAAAAGGGTTAGGGGTTTAAATTTCATGCAACGGTTAACGTTTTTATTAACGGCAAAATATATTAATTAAAATGAAAAACGTTATTCAGCTGCAACCTCATCCCCTTTCTGTCCCCCCTCTTCCCCAGCTTCCCCCCTCCCCGTGACCGTCCAAAAAAGTCGTTTTGTTGCGCGAATTTTTCTGACGATACCGTAATATACCGTAATTTCTGATATACCGTAATATGCTGTAACATACCGTAGTATACCGTAATATACCATAATATACCGTAATATACCGTAATATACCGTAATATGCTGTAACATACCGTAGTATACCGTAATATGACTACCCAGCCCTCTTCCCCACCCCATTCCCCACCGTAATCCCCACCCTCTTCCTCATCTCGTGGGGAATTTCTAACACATAATTTAGCGCCTTCCCCTTCGTCGGGGAGGGGGGCTTGGGGAGACCAGTATGGGGGGATGATATCATTTGTGGCTTATGAACCCCTGTGAACCTCCGTGAACCCCTGCCTTATATTACTTGTGAACCCTCACATTTTATTGCTTCTGAACCCCTGTGAACCTCTGTGAACCCCTGCCTTATATTACTTGTG